TGTCTAAAAACAAATATCGAGAACAGTTGTGTAATAAAATGTTACTTTGATAGAAATTGTAAATTATTTAAAACAACGAACAATTACCTTGGTAAAACGATGTTAGAATACATCGAAAAAATAGATTCGTTTGTTAATATCAATAAGAAACTTTTGTTTCTAAATTACCAATGTTTATGTTTATATATTTCTTTTTAATAACAACAAAACATTAATGATTTCGTGCCGCTAACTTTAATTTATAACCTATACTACCTCATCCATTACTTTCCTCTATGCCTCATCCGTAATACTACTCTGTGCGTAATACTAATAATATGTCAATGTCATATGTCATTTGTCATAGATTGTTTTTTTTTTCTATTGCTGATAAACTCGTAATACTGTACTTTTGCCATTGTTAAGTAATAAGAAAACAATAATGTAATTAAAGTTTGAGGTTTGCTTGTTTACTTAATATACATAGGTTTTTCTTCAAAAGTAAACAGTGACAGTACATAGTGACAATGAACTGTTAGACGAATAACTTAAGAAAAATATTGCGAGACTGGCAGAGAAGAAAATAAACTTCACACACCAAAAAAGAGAAAACGAGCAAAACCAGTCATAGGCATCGATAGCTTTGATGCCAATGTATATATACAGTAATTTATGATGCCGATGCCATCCGAAGACATGTGTGTAGCCTCCCTGGACCATCTATTATAATTATGAACAATGCCCCATACCACTCGATGCAAATTGACAAACCACCTGCCCAATCTCAAAAGAAAACTGACATCGTCGCATGGCTTCAAAAAAATGGCGTAGATGCAAACATAAATATGTTTAAAGCGGAATTAGTACGTCTTTTAAAAGAAAACAAACCAACCAAGATACGATACGTCATTGACGAAATATTTAGATAGAACATGGGCACAGAGTTATACGGTTACCGCCTTACCATTGTTAATATAATGCAATTGAGTTGGTGTAGGCTCAAATTAAGGGATATGCTGCAAGATACAATACAGAACCCCCATTGACCACAAAAAAAAATGCTAAAAATATTGGAACAAGCTTGTGAACGTGTGACTAAAGGAGACTGGGAAAAGGTTGTGAATAGAACTGTTAAAGTAATAAGGGAAGATTATGAAAGAGATGTGAACATAGATAATATTTTAGAAAACGAACTTATAATTAATGGAGGTGATGACAGCAGTGACGACAGCGAAAATAGCAGTATGGATGAATCTGATTAATATAGTCTTTTGTGGCACCTTTTTTTGGTCTCTTTTTGTATTTTTTTCTTTTGTGCATATAAAGTATGTATATTCATTTTCATTCCAATACTCAGATCGTTCAAATATATTAAGTAAGCATTTATCATCATCATCATCATTACAGCCCTTCACAAGTCCACTGCTGAACATAGGCCTCCCCCAAGGTATGCCACCCAATCAAATCAAATCAAAATAGAAAGTGTTAAAATAAATTATTTATATAAATATATACTTCAATATGTATTCATAACACATATAAATACTATCTATGTCAGAACAAATATGAAATATATACGAAAATAAAAGCTGTGTTAGTTCAAGCTTGCAACGATTTTTTTAGATGCTTACGGACTTGATTTTTAAAAACAAACTTGTAGGGAACTTTATAAATTTAGTTTTTTTCTAAAATTAATTAAAGATCGCGTGCAGCGCATCAATGAACACCTTCAGCAGTGGTCTCTAGAGGTAGAGAAGCTGGTGCGAAGAGCACACCGGTCTGTACCTGCGCTTATTGAAGGGAACCTGGTGCAGACATTCATCGACGGCATCCGTGACCTTAAATTCAGAGCTGCTGTGAGTCTCGGTCACCACGAGACGCTTACGGAAGCATTGGCCCATGCACTTGAGGTTGAAGCCGTGCGGCAGTATCTTCGTTCCCATCGCGTCAGAGAGGTTGCAGCAGCTACAGTTCGCAACCGCAATAATGGATACAGCCCTAGGTGCTGTGGCTATGGGGAAAGGGGCCATCTTCGATCCAGCTGCCCTAAGCGATCTGTAGAAAGGGAAGATGATCGATCACGAGGGGGCTGTGAGGCTAACGGCACTCTGCGGCGGAAGAATGTTCTGTTAGGGAGGGGCAGTTACGGGCATACCCCAAGGTGCTACGGCTGTGGGGAAAGGGGCCATCTTCGATCCAGCTGCCATAAGCGATCTGTAAAAAGGGAGTGGCGAGGGGGCTGTGCGGCTAACAACACTACCCAGCTGCAGGAATATGACTTTGAGAACGAACATGGAAGCGTGAAATCGCATGGAAACGCAGATGCATTGTCAAGGAGACCTTGTCCTGAAGATTGCAAGCATTGTACTAGACAAGAGAGTAAAGAAGTGGTATCCGTGAGGATGCTCAGGACAGACCACCTTAGCAACTAGTGGAAGGACGCTTACAACATGCACAGCAGGAAGATCTGGACATCAAGCCGATTCTGGAATGGATGAAGGCCCGTACTCCCAAGCCCAAGTGGAGCGACGTCTCAGCGATGAGTTCGACCACGAAAAGCTATTGGGCCCAATGGGACAGCTTGCTGATTCAGGATGGAGTCCTGTGCCGTAAATGGGAAAATGGTAGAGGAGACAGCTGTCGTTTGCAAATGGTTGTCCCTAAAACTAAAGTGCCGGATGTTCTACAGCTGTACCATAATGGTTGTTCAGGAGTCCATCTGGGAGTTAAACGAACTCTACTGAAGATCCGAGAACAGTTTTACTGGGTCCATTATCGTGACAATGTCGAGGATTGGTGTCGCACATGTACAAGTTGTGCGGCTGTGAAGAGACCTCAGACTCGTAGCAGAGGAGCATCGAAATTGTACAATGTTGGTGCATCATCATGGGAGAGGATAGCCCTTGACGTTGCGGAGCCGTTTCGAAAAGGTGCAAGAGGTACTCCTAAGATCATCCATGTGGATCGACTGGCGCGTTATTATGGGGCCGATAATGCTCTGCACGAGCATGTCTTAGGAGGGGGCAGTGTTGCGCGCCTAAGTTGACGTCAGGTACCTGGCACTAGTGCCATCTAGTGTCAAGGACCAGAGCGGGGAGGGCTTCCTAGAAAATGTCAATCTTGAACTTTCGACCAACAGCGCCATCTATTATCAACCAGAAGAATTAAGCTTTCTAGAAGCCCCACACTCGAACTTTCTGCGTCTGGTCGGTCGGCACCCGTATCTACTGAAATATTCTGGATGTTTCGGTGTGAAAGGTGTATTTAAAGCCGCTGCATGCCGCGATCGGGGCAGTATTGTATTTGGCGAGACAAGCGAAGCTTCGGAGCGAAATAAAGTGAATTAGTGTGATTAATTATTAATGTCTTTTAAGTTTTAATTGGTGTTCGGTAATAAAAGTGTAAATTTTAGTAATTCCATCGGCAGTTTTTATTGTCTCGAACGTCAAGCTCGTAACAGTATAATACCCCCTTGGTTTTGTCGGGGGCAAAAAAATTTTTTTACCATTTTGAGTGAACTATGGAATATCACAAACTTAATATCTTCTAGTTACGAGTATATTAAAATTTAACCCCCATATTTTAACACTCTTAGGGGTGGCTTATCCTCAAAATTTATGGTACCTACCTAAAGTATCATTAAAAATAATCGGTTCACAATTACTGACGACAATATATAGCATCATGTATACAAAAAAAGACCGAGAACCTCCTAATTTTTGAAGCCAGCTCAAAAATGGCGGTATTAGAAGTATTGCTTTATTGTAAAAAAAAAAACGAAAGTTCTGAAGTGATTTTCGAAATGAACCAACTCAGCTTGATTCTGAAGATAGTGTAAAATATCACTGATACCTATTATAATCACGCAGAATAAGTTTGAGAATGTTGAATATATTATTTTGCATCACCATTTACCATCATGTGGAGTAATCAAGCACTGGCTTATTATAGTAAAAAGTGATATGTATATGAAATTTTAGCACCTATTAATGTTATTACATCAAAATAACGTTTTATAGCGCAATAAATTTTTGATTATGTATAGACTACACTTAGTACTCTTGTTTGTGGACTAGACATAGATGTATTTATATCGATAGTTTATTCGTCTGTGAGCTGCACTGGCCAAAATTATGTTCTTAGTTTTCTTAGAGCATAATTACATGGAGGGAGACTGTGGCAGAAAGGTGTGGGTAGAGAGAGAGAGAGGGTGATGTTCTGTGTATTGGCTGTTATGGGCATGTGGTGGGCCTCTTGAGAGTACGCTTTCTACTCACACAGTGCTCCCCCATGTTGTTGCTCTAAGTTAGTTTTTATGACATTTTTGGCTTAGATGCCTGTACTTTAAGCCATGTCTTCATTTCATTCGCGATCTTCGTTTTTAATTGATTTTTTAATCACAATATGCTGATGCATCAAATTGCGAAGTTTTTGGGAGATTTTGACGACAGCTCAACCCAGCGGACAGTCGATGACGACAGTCACTCAAGTTCATGGCTTCAACGCGATCAAAATAACTATAGGTTTATATCAACATTGAAGCACTTGTTTAGTCGTTTTTAATGTACAAAATCCATCACTTTACTTATTAAAATCCACTTCAAACCATTATTTATACGAGAAAAAGGGAGCAACAATCCGCCGACGGTCAAGTTTCCGCTAAAAATCTCTCTTTAGTTTTTACCTCCGTCACAGCCATAGAGTATTTTAAGCCTGGCAAGACTGGTATGCGTATTGTATTTCGCAATTGAAAAATAATCTACCCGTTCCCGTTTTTCTCAGTCTTTCAATGTGAGCTTATCATCACAAAAATTTCCGTCATCTTCATGTATAGGTTTATAAGATAAACGTTTGTAAAAGACAGAAGGCGATTCCAAAACAGGTTTTCTAAATTTGGCACAGAATAATAACAAAAAGGTTTTATTTTTTCTAAAGATTTGATATAGATTTTTTCTAAGATTTGTGTACTGAGTAGGAACTATTTTACTTCTGATTAAGAAAAATAAAACAATGATTTATCATTACTTTATTACGTTAAACATAATTGAAATAGAAAACAATACAATTATATTAAGATTTGTGGTTGCAGCTTTATTAACAGAGAAATTACCAGAAAAGTTCGGCATATATTTTAACACCGTGGGGTCACTTGAGGATTTATCAAGTTTATTGCATTTATGCAAAGTTTCATTAACACAGGACTTTTCAGTAATATTGAACAGTGTTCCTTGCGGGCATTCGATCCATCTTGGTTTAACCATACCACTTATACCTTCTACACAAGATATAAATGCTCTGCAATTTTCAGTTGAATCAGCCTCAAAATTTCCTACTTCGGTACAATTGTAATCCGGAAAGCATTTGTAACTGGTAACATTAGTACATAAGTTTTCGATATGGCTGAAAATGAATGATTCAGAACAAGTAAGATTGTATTCCATGTATCCAGCCGCCCCACTTATACACATAGTAAAACCGCGACACTCGTTGAATTGATTAGGGAACCTTCCTTGTGAAGTACATTGGCTGGCTTTGCTCACTCCTTGCCTTAGTAACTAAAATCAAAACAGACACACATCATTTCATAAACTGTAGACCGAGACTCAAGGGATTTACTTCCTAAACGGTCTTTCCTTGCATTTACGTTTTACTGTCCTATTTTGTATTTAATTTAAAAAATCTCTTTTAAAAATTTAAACTTTTATAATTAAATATCGACAAAGTGATTAGTAGCAACACTTTTTCGATACCGAATATCGATAATTGCTAGTTAATAGATTTATCCTTTGTATTCGTCTAATGCCCTACCTTGATGAGAAATTTCAAGTTTATACGTAACATAGAAAACATCTGACCCATTACTGCTCTATGGGACGTTTAATAAAAGCTATATTTATTTTAAGTTTTAGTGTTTGGATTTAAGAAAGACGGAAAAAACAGGGTAGGATATACTATATGTGAGAAGAATAATTTAAGAACACGGTGTCTAGCAGTATTTAATAGGTTAAAAGTTTGGTAGAAAGACAAGTTTTATAACGTGCACTCCCTGGTTCTTATTATAGGTACGTTGCTATAAAAATACAAAGGAGCAATTTTACTTACAAATTGATTTTTCACGAAATTCACCATCTAATATTTTGTAGTAAAAAAGTTGGAAGTGTTTTTTCAAGACAATATTATTTACTCTCCGGCTATCTTTGTTTCATTAACATATTTTCCTTGTTTGAGTTACGTATGACCTTACTACTCGAGAAATTTACATTCAGATATAAAATTTGTTTACTAAGAAGATGCGTAATTTAATGAGTAACAAAGATTGAAAGTGAGGGTATTACAGCATGTATTTACATCAGTGATGACCCATTTCTGTTAATATTTTTAAGATACGGTTCTAAACGAGTGGTGCACATCGGAGGCTGATCCCAGCCATGGTTTGATCGCTTCTGTGAAATAGCATCACGCTACAAGCAGGAGTGCTACCGGCTCTGGGCTGACGAATCAACGTCTTAGAATGTAAACACCAGCGCTCTTAAAAAGAAGTATAATTCTAATTCCAGGTCCTTCAAAAAAGTCATTGCCAAGGCAGTCTGAGCACATCGGCAGAAATGGCGAGAAACTAGTTCGCTTTGCTTTGGGAACCCGTGCATTCTGGTCTTTCGCCAAGGCTGTCCAAGGGAATTTTTGTCAGTCATCTCTTCCATCTCTGTACAGAGAGGACGACTCACTGTCTTATGCCGCAAAGGAGGAAGCCGATCTGTTAGGCTATCTCTTTGTGTCCCACTCGACTCTCGATGACAGGGGAGCACACCGCCGACCATCCCGCGGTGTGAGTGCTCCATGCTGGATGTGCGGTTAACACAGCACTCAGTTCGCAAAGCACTCCTATCCCTGGACGTCAGCAAGTCGAGTGGGCCTGATGGTGCCCCTTCCACTGTGCTAAAGACGTGTTCTCCGGAGTTGGCAACAGTTTTAACGCGTCTTTTCCGATACTCCTACTCTCAAGGCATAGTCCCGAACTCATGGAAGGCAGCTTTGGTCCACCCGATCTCTAAAAAAGACGACCGCTCAGACCCGTCCAATTACAGGCCTATCGCCATCACCTCCTTGTTCTCCAAAGTAATGGAGTCTATTATAAACTACCAGCTGATGAGGTATCTTGATGAGATCTCTTTGGTTTTCGTTGTGGTCGATCAGCTGGTGATATTCTGGTCTACCTGACTCATAGATGGGTGGAGGCGTTGGCCGTTAGTTTGGACATAGCGAAAGCCTGCGATCGGGTCTGGCACAAAGCGCTTCTTTCGAAGCTCCCTTCCTATGGGCTTCCCGGGAAATTGTGGAATTGGATCACCAAGCTGTAATTTGGCATATTTATAGATATTAAGCCTATTAACGCCGGTATTCCACAAGCCGGCTTGCTATCACCAACTTTTTTCCTTCTGCATATCAATGATATGTTGCAAACTGGTAATATTCATTGCTATGCAGACGACAGCACTGGTGATGCCTTATACACCGGACTTGTCAATATTTCTTGGGAAAACGTCACCGAGTACCGGGACAAACTTGTGTTTGAAGTCGAGTCTTTGCTAAACAAAGTTTCCACCTTGCCGTATATCAAGGTACTCCTTGAACTTGCTACCTCAGCTAGCATGGGAATCCTCGACGTCGAATAGTGTGCAGTTTCGTGGTAACTTGGAGGGGAAGGCCAAATTGGCCTCTAAAAAGCTTAGCGTGCTCAGCAGAGCGAGACCGTATTTCATGCCGGCACATCGCTTGCAACTTTACAAACTTTACTTTCGGCCTCACATGGCCTCTACTCATCTCTGGTCCAGGACACTCAAGTGTCAGCTCCTTCCACTTGAATGCATCCAGTTCGAATCGTCGGCGACCGAGTTCTTTCTGATCGGCTCGATCGATGTTGCATCCCTTTGCGTTTTCTATCGTATGTACCATGGGGAGTGTTTAGAGAAATTGTTCGGATTAGTTTCGGCCGCCAAATTTTACGAACGCACATCGCGACAAAATTCACGATACCATCCTCACCATCTGGATGCTTGGCGGACCACCACTGAGCGTTTTACTAGGAGTTTTCTTCCTCGTACAATTTCTCTGTAGAATTGTTTACCATCGGCTACTTTTCCGGACCGACACGAGTTAGGGACCTTCAAGAAAAGAGCTTCCTTCTTTCTAAAAGGCCGCCAACGCACCTGCAATTCCGCTGGTGTTGCAGTTGTTCGTGGGCGGCGGTAGTCACTTACCATCAGGTAAACCACATGCTCGTTTGCCCCCTCTTCTATAAAAAAATAAAAATAAACTGATATAAACGTTTTATAGCTTATCAGAGTTTTATGCTAAGAAATAAAAGTCATAATTATTACTGCATAACGTTTAGATAACATACAGTATATAAAACATAAAGCTACTAGTATGTAACAAAATTATTTAATATATTTATTTAGTGAAACATAAATATTAAGTGCTATTATGAAGTATTACGCCCAGCTTTCCCAGAGCACTAAAAATCCTTATTATCTTATGTATTTTTCGGGAATTTAATAAAAATTGTATTTAAAATGTCATATTAGGAATATTAAAAGTTATAATCACTAACGCATTTTGCGGCACACGATATAGTAAACCAAATAATTGATAGCATTACATATATACCCTTTCAGATCAATGTGGAATGAAAGTAACTGGTAATAACAATAGTCCTAAATATTTATCTATTTTGATCAAAACTCTAAGTAATAATTATACCTACTGTGATACAATAGGTTAGTGCTGACGCACAGGAAAAGTTATAAGCAACTCGCTTCAACAATCGCTTGTTATTAACAAGTTATATAATTTCGATCTCTCGTTTTGGAAAGAATACGTAAAAAAATAAATCAATATTTAAAGTTTAAATTAAAATTAGTTAAATTTTTATTTAGACATGCTTTTAAAATTTTATGAAATTCCGTCTCTATCGATGTGACGCCGGACGCCGGGCAGACCGAAATTATCTATAGGGTTTCTTTCTATGACAGCGAAACTATCAAAACGAGAGGTGGAAAAGAAAATATCAAAAAGCAAATTACTTACGTAGGTAATGATAAATAACCACATATGAGGCATGTTAGACATTTAAATTAATTTGGCATGGACAAGTCTGCAACACAAAAATCTGACTCCGTGGTCTTTACTACAAGCTAATTTAAACAAAATAAGGTTTAATTTACAGAAATGAATTGCGAAATACTATAAACTATGAAAGCCGCCTACTAACTAACATAACATAATGCGTTGTGTGTAAAATACAACAAAGCGGTATCGATATAACCATCACTACTTTATTTTAACAAACTAGATAAGTATATCATTCCCACTAGTAATTGTTTGGTTTGGAGACGAGTTTATTTTTTTAAAATTCCTGGCAGCTTGGTAGATGGTCAGAGATTGGTATTTAAATAACTAGTAGTATCAGTAAATAAGCTTCTTGAAGATAAAAATGTTGGCTATTTTTATGATTAGATTTATGATTTGAATCTTAATACTAGCTAGCTCGTCAGATGTTCTGCCTTTTCCGGGAGGTGGCGCGATGAGATTAATTGCAATATAAAATACAAAAACTCGACCACAGCGGTCTATCAGATATAGATTTTGTTATAAATTTCCTGACACTAAGTAAGTCATTTGGGTTCATGAATATATAATATAAAAATTAACTTGACTAAAGCGCTATCTATCGGATCCTAGATACGAACTCCAACATACAAACCATCTTCTCGACGAAATAAATTCATTGCGTGGTATGACTTCAATCGGTCAAGTCCACGGAATACATTTTATACTTGAACGAATTAAATAATTTGGTTAATTCGTTCAAGATTTTATATCACTAACAGATGCACCAACAATGATATTATAAATATTGCTAAATATGTAAAACATATACCTAAGTTTGGCGTAACAAATAACCGATTACTCACTTGAAATGTTATCTTAATTTTAAATGTTTATGTTAGAACATCTTGAACTATTTTACGTATTTATAAAAATTACCGATAGATATACGGAGAAATCCATTTCCAAATAAGTCATTGTAATTATTGCTTTCATTGCCATTCATTACCATTTTATAATTGAAGTATAAAAGATAATTGTCGACACGGGGCCGACACTATACTAGTATTAGGATAAGATAAGGGGATCATTGTTTGTATGCGAGCCTTGCTTTAATTACTTGCTTTATGGTAAGATTGTATGATACGATCTTTCACGTACCATGCACCAGGTACATTCTTTGTATAAGATGTATTTTTTTCATGGCAATCGCAACGATTTTGTAACACTGGCTGGTTGGAATCTTTGGCGACCAAAATTACTCCACAACTGTGATATATTTGTCATTAAAAACACTTTAATCGTAAAAGAAAATAAAATAATTTAAAAAAATCGTCGGTTCACAATCGATACCGACACGTTTACCCAATAAATCAAAAATAAATATCAAACGTTAAACTGAAGGCAAAGTATGTGTATTATTATTACCTACTACGTAACGAAGCCAACCACAAATTCCCGCTAGAGTTACACAATTTTAAATAACATAAAAATAAAAATGAAAAGTTTAAAAACATAGCTACAATCCTTTAGTTTTGAAGGAAGAAACACTTCATTTCTTGTCTACCTCGGTTACAATCCGTTACAATAATCTACTAACGGTTTTATATAATAATAATAATAATTTATTGATTCCCTGGCCCCTGAACTAGTACAACTGTGTTTCAGGAACCAGTTCCTCCCCTTAAGCGGGCTACATACGACACAATATCGGTGGCGATCTAGGGTGGAGTAGTGGGGATGCCTCCTAGATTGCCTCTAAATCGTGTCGTATGTAGGGCCATTCTAAGTCGTGGCCGATATCGCCTCCTTAATCGGCTGGCAGGAGCAAAAATGCTTCCTAGATCAGCCGATGCTTCCTAGATCGGGGCACCGCCACCTCCTTACTGCGTGTGTGTACGCGCATCGGCCCGATTTCTTTTGGCAGTCGCTCCCGGCAACCCTCGTGGAAGGAAGTTAACAAAACAGTGATACTGAATGACCTTTTTTATATAACAAAATTTTTACATTTTAATCATATAAACGGAGTAGAAGCCTATGGCACTGATATTTTACAAAAAACCAAAAAAAAAAGTGAATAAAATAAATAAATTAATTGAAATTTTATCGAAATTCAAATCATATCCACCCTAGCCTGTGACCCTGCGAAGTGACATGGTCAAGAATGCCTACTAAACTAATTTTTTTATTGCCGTTCGTAAAGTAGAGTGTATGATGTAAGTAAGGAGAATATAAAGCCTCTCCTCAACAACTAACTCCTATTCCAACGCTATCAACCCAAGACCGCACTCATATCTCTTACAACTCCACAAGCCCACACTTCGATTTCTTAAGCGCTTATTACATTATACAATTTTTAGGAAATCTAATTAGGAAATAGGAAGGTGTAATCGTAGTTAGAACAGTTAGGATCCGATTTAGTCAAATTGGAGGTCCCAATCGCAGTACTTCCTAAATTGTTTACAATTTAGGACAGTGTAATCGCAACGTTACGATTTAGAACAACCAGTCG